TATTATTATTATTATCGTTAAATCCATAACCAAAAACTCGACGTTCAACGTCGATAAATTATACCCACCCTCAATTAATTTCCTGGTTTCGCCCTTGGTCACATATACATAATTATAGGTCACGGGTCACATATTTTAAAATTAATTGATCATAGATTATTTCAAGGTCACAAATCAAAAATTTTGTACGTCACAAATTATTTCGAGGTTACAGATTTTTAAATTAGTTGATCACAAATTTTTTTTGAGTCACATATTATTAAATTTTTAGGTCACAGTTGATTAATTGGTCACAAATTACCAAACATTTGGTCACAGATTACCAAACATTTGGTCATAGATTACCACCACTACCACTATGGCTACTTTCGACCATCCTCACCACGCCGCCACTGCTACAACAGCACCAACAAAGCCACGACAACCACCCCTACCACCAATCACTTGCATATTACCTATTTTATAGGTCACAAATGCTAAACATCTCCAACAGAAACAGGCCCTCCGCCACCACCTCCACCTCCGCCACAACCACCTCCACTCTGCCATTGCTGAAAACCACTTCGTCCCTCTAAATATCTTTGAGCAACAGCAAAGCGCACACACACCACCACAAATTGCGACGTCGGTATGAAACCAGAGTGGGAACAAGGCCCTGTCGTTGACACACTACCTTAGATCGGCCATCAAATATTGATCTGCCATTTCCACTCACATAGTTCTTTCAAGAAATTAGAGAGATCTGCGCGCGGAAGGACTGTCTCGAGACTGTGAGGGAGATCTGCGCGAGGTTGGACAGTAGCGGCGACGTCGCTGCTCGACTCTTCGGTAGTGGGCGCTCCTCAATGGCGACGACGGCAAGGAAGCGGGTAGAGAGAGAGAGACGAGAATCTTGATTTAGGTTTTGTTTGGGATTAATGTTAGGGTTTTAATATATTACCTGATTTGTGAATAAATAAGCTTTGCACCTGATTTTTAAAAAGCAATATTTAAACACTTGATTTTTTATAATTTCACTTTTTTTTTTTAACTGTAAAAAATTCAAGCACAATCTAATTGACACCTCTAATTAAAGATGGGTAATGTTAAATTGGCAATAGCACCTGAA